TTCCGCGCCGTGACACAAAGATGATGTCACTGGCACTCTTGTCCGCCATTTCAGTTATAGGTTTAGTGTGATGCCATGTACCAGGGTGACACTTCTCGACCCCCGTAGCACCTACCACAGATTTTTCGATCAAAATTTGACTGCACTGCTAGTTCAGTTTTAGTTCATTAGCTAACTAATTACCTAATTTCACCCTTTCCCTAGTGGACGCCATGACTACTAACACTGCCCCAAGGCTCAAATTACCCTATCTCACGTTCTCTCTCTCTGAAAATTTGGTGCAGCTAAAAGAAAAACACTGTACAAGGTTACTTGACAAAACAAGGTAGGCAATAACAGGGATAAACGCAAAGATAATACATAAAGCGGAAGGTACTGGAAGAAACCGTTGTTAATTAAAATAACCTCAGCTTATTCGGCATTTTAGCTGCAATACAACTTCGGCTGCAAACAAATGTCATGCCATGGTTGGTTTTTTTTTCTAGACAGGCTTCGTGAAAGAGAGATTGGCATCCTGCGCATTGAATTACCCCAGGAGCATCAGCAAGCAGAGGCTGCCTGCACAAACAATGCACGGTGAAAACAGAATCTTTTGGTCGCACACGAGAAACAAGGGAAAGAGTTACAGGGAAGTCTTCCATCATCCCATTACGAATGCACTTTAGTAGATGGCCCCTCATTAATTGCTGTCTAAAGTTTACAGTGGTAGGGTCTTTGCCAGATGCTATGCAGTACATGTTAGCAATAGCAAATAAGCCACAATCTACTGTGCAACCTTGGCCCTGTGCAGGTCTTACAAAAATAGTTACATTTGCAGATGGTAACTTAAGTATGCTGCACACCTGTTTTACAGCATCAGGGGGAACAGTTTGATCAAGAGAATCATAAACAAAGACAGAATCAGGGGGCGCATCAATAGTTGTTACTGTGATCCAATGATCCGGGTTCGCTGTGTGTAAGATTTGAATGAATGGACCCTTTATCTGCTTGAATAGTAGTCCCTGGCTCAGCAAAGCGTCTTGGAAACCTTCCCGATGCGGAAATTTTTGACGTGTTAACTGCATTGCAATATTCATGACACTGTCTGGCAGCGGACGGTTGTATAATACATCGTCCAAGTGTTCATCTGTTAGTGAATAAGCGCTATAAAGAGGAATCAACTCTGCACGAATCATGCTAAGACAAAGTTTTTTGTTGCAGATTTCTGACAATTTACGCTTTTTTGTGACTTTTACAGTTCGCGGTCTCCCTCGTTTACTTTTAATTAAACTAATACGCAGCTCTTCGGAAGGTTTCCTGTCACTTGCTGTGTCTGTTGGCTGTTGATCAGGCACATCCTTATGAGCTGCATGGGGTGCTACAGACTGTGACAAAAGCTGCACCTGGTTGCTAGAAAACGTTGTAAGATTGCTAAGGAATGTCTGAATATCTGTCAACTTTTCATTTAGCTCCTGTTCGCCACACTGGGCCAAGATGTTAGCTGTTGGTTTCACTATATCTGTTAAAAACTTGTAGGCATAATTATACCTGGCCTCAATGGTATCCAATTTTACAGGTGGGGGCTTCAGTATGGCTGATGTAACTGTGGTTTGGGTAGGCTGGCTTGTGCTAGACTGACTTGGGCTAGGTGGGTTTGAGCTAAGGGGGGTCGGGCTATGAGGACTTGGGCTAGGCGGGTTTGAGCTAAAGGGAGTTGGGCTACGTGGGCTCGGGCTAAGTGGGTTTGAGCTAAGCGGAGTTGGGCTACGTGGGCTCGGGCTAGGTGGGTTTGAGCTAAGCGGAGTTGGGCTATGCAAGCTTAGTGGGCTCGAACCAGCTGTGCATGGACCAGGCATGCTTAGAGGGTCGGTAGCTTCAGATGCTAGGAAGTGGCTCCTACGCCATCGATGCGGAATAACAGAGTGGTCAAATAGTTCTAGATTTGCAAAAGACCGTGCTGTCAAAATGTGGGCACATGGAAGTCCATATTGGGAATAACAGAGGCATGTGCAACTGTCTAGGCTTTTTGCTATCACATACTCTGTCCCTTCCAACTTAACAGTGTATGCGTCATTTTGAAAGCTAACAATATAGCGAATAGTCTTAAACTTCTCATATTCCCGTAATACTATATTCCTAGCTACCAGAGTGCACGTTTGAGCTAATGTTAGCTGGAACATGTCAAAGCTACTTGTATTTAAATTGAGCTTAAGCTCTCTAAGTTTTGCAAACCTTAGTGATATAATATCATGGTCAATATACTCTAGCAAAGCAGTCATCGCAGCAGCCAGGTGCATTCCTGGACGCAGGAAGCTTTTTAGTTTTTGATTATGGCTCTCAATTCGGTTGTTGGTATTATTCCCCATTGTTAGCAAGTCTCGGCGGTACGCATGCGCCCACATTTCTTTGCAGGAATCCCAATTGTTCATGAAGTAGAGCAAAAAATCGTCAGGAGAGTGTTCCCTCAACAGCGCAACTTTTTTGTCGTAAACAGACAGGCGATTGGCATAGACAACTTCTTTAATTAGGCGACGCAATAATTCCCTCTGATGAACTGGGTATTTCATAATCTGCAAGTCCAAGTAATGGAGAACATGCCAAGTGCATAGGAGAATGGTGCTTTTTGGCAGAAGCTCTTTCAAAATCCTTAACTGATTTAGGTCCTTATCTACCATAACAACTTTGCATGCTGAAAGTACAAAAGGATTACAATCTATAAACTTCTGAAAAACAGGGCGAACAATTAGGGAGGTTTCCCTTTGCAAAAACGCATAGCAAATGCATCGACCCCTACCACGAGCGTCTTCACAAAGAATTGAATAGAGAATGTAACCTTCTACGTTAACCTTATATGTCCCATCGATGAACAGAATTTCGGGATACTTTTCCAAAGTTTCTCGCATAACGGACGTCTGGAACAACACAAATAACAGCTCATTGTTTTTATCTTTTTCATAATGTATGATCCAATTAGGGTTCTTGGAGGCAAGACTATGCAATTGCTCTAACAACAGGGCCCCATGAGCCTCACTAGTTTTAACTGCAGTCACAGAATTCACACTACGGTTTTTGTAATTGTTAATGTCTTGTGTTGTTAGAGTCTTGCCTGTTTTTTCATAGACATAATTTTTGAAATCCTTAGGTTTAATATTGCATTTTGCTACATCTGCAAATGTCTCCTTCTCAGATGTAGTCAGAAGCCTGTTTTGGGGGTATGTGCTGCATAATTCCAGACTATGGTTATGTTCAACAACAAGTTTTGAGATTACATAGCACATATCTGGCTTTGTCTTCAAAACTAACAAGAGGCGTGCCTGGCAACCTGAAAAATAATAAGACTGTTGTGGGCGCTTTCCGCTGCCCATGGCTGATAGAGGGCGTCCATGGACACAGATGAATTCAACTGAGGAGTATTTAAATTCCTCACACTGAGCTAATGGACATGTTCTAGACCTCCTTTTTGTAAACACATGCAACCCTTGTTTGCACCAATCCTCAAATGCAGCTAGAAAGGTAGAGTAGTTAGAAAACTTGGCCTGCGCAAAAATGACACCGCCACCTCCATACAAAGTACAGGATTTTGAAGGACTGGGGGCATTCTGCAGGTTACTAACGGCAGATCCAGGGCTTTTCTCTGGAACCTCGGAAGGGTACTTGACTCCCTGGGCAACGCACTTATCATCTGCAGCAACGCCTTCGCCTACATGATGCCCTCCGACAGCTATCTCTATGCTAGAGCCCTCCCCACAACCATCATGCATGAGACATGCCATTTCTGAGAAAAACTCTGTCCCCGCGTCATGCCTTCTGCATGCAGTCACATAGTCAGCACCACCCCCATCATGACCACAGGGCGTAAACCCACAGCCAGGAGTACCCCCTGTATCATGCAGCACATGCTTGCCTTGTCCACCCTCCCCATCAAGCACAGAGCATGCAACCCCACAGCCAGAAGTCTGCCCTGCGGCATGCAGCACATGCTTGCCTGCCCCACTCTCCCCATCAGGCCCACAGCATGCAACCCCACAGCCAGTAGTCTGCCCTGTGGCATGCAGCACATTCCTGCCTTCTCCACCCTCCCTATCAGGCCCACAGCATGCAACCCCACAGCCAGTAGTCTGCCCTGTGGCATGCAGCACATTCCTGCCTTCTCCACCCACCCCATCACACCCACAGCATGCAACCTCACAGCCAGAAGTCCGCCCTGTGGCATGCAACGCATGCCTTCCTTCTCCACCCTCCCCACCATGCCCACAGCCAGAAGTCCCCCCTGTAACATGCACTGCATGCTCGCCTTCCCCTGAGACCCTTGCATCATGCTCTATGCCCGCATTCACTAATCCCATGCTGAAGCCCTGCTCTCCGTCATGCACTGCAGACACATTCTTTGCATGCGTGAGTGCCCTTCGACTCTGCAACAGGGCCTTCGAAGGACGTTTCCCTCCAACGACCCTGCTCTCTGTCACACATGCTGGGCTGCACTCACCTAAGTCAGAGAAAGGATTGTCACAAACAGGCAAAGGAGAAAGGGTTGAGAGGCACCCTACTGCAAAGTCTTCTCCATCCCAAGTAATAGTGGGGGACGCAATAGTGGCAGCACGGTTTGGTACCTTGCGCAGTCCCGGAGACTTTCGTCCCTTGCGCTTGGACTTCACCCTCTGCCACCGCTCTCCGCCCACTATACTTTGGATAGGGTAGACTACCCTGGGTTCAGCTGCTGCCGAGGCAGCCTGCTCACCGGCCCCTACAAAAGCTGTGCTCCTCGAGGAAGCCCTGGGGCACCCCTCTGCACTAACTTCTGTACTCATAGCAACATCGGTGACTCCACCTCGGTCCAGCTTCGTAGGCTTCTCAGAAGGTTGCTGTCCTTCCGGCCTCGGCTGAACCTTTCCCCAAACAGGTACGCATGTACTAGAGGGAGCACAAGTGGCCGTGGATGCACTCTCCCAGGTCTGCCATACCCGGCTGCCCTTGCTGCGGACTCGAACGCCACCAACCAGCCTGAATCCAGCACCACAGCTTCCCATCCTGGGCTCATCAGAGTGCTTGCCTCGTTTGTGCCTCCGTTCAGCATTTACACATGTGGCAACTGGTTGGCTTGTGTCCGATCCGAGCTCGGGTGCCGTGCTGGCAGTTGGGAGAGGAGGGCCTGCAGATTTTGACATCTCTGCCCAGGTGGCCCTCCGATCAGCAGCTGCCTCACAAGGCGCAAGGGTGGTCTCAACGGAAAGAGCAGGAGAAGCAAGGAGGGGTTGCACAGGAGAGCCAAGCAGCGGAAAGTCAACCTCACATGCCATGGTTAGTGGCGGGCTCTTCACGGAAGGAGCAGCAGAAGCAACAGGAAGGGGTTGCACAGATGCAAGAGGAGGAGGCTGCACAGAGCAAAGCGGTGGTGGCTCATCCTCGCATGCAGAAGGAGCAGCAGAAGAAAGAGGAGGCTGCACAGAGCAAAGCGAAGCAGCAGCAGAAGTGAGAGAAGGAAGCTCCACAGAGCAAAGCGGAGGTGGCTCATCGTCGCATGCCGAAGGAGCCGCAGGAGCTGAAGGAGAGCCAAGCGGTGGGAACTCGAGCTCACATGGCGCGGTCAATGGGGCACCCTCGATGGTCCAGCCGTCCCACGAGCGGGTCCCTGGCATTGCCTCCATGTGGTCCTGCTGGATCTTGGCCCTGGCCATCTTCTCCAGGATGCTCCGCACTTGCTGGCCCATGAACCCAGCGAGGACCTGCACACGGTACTTGACATTAGCACCAAAGCTGATTGGCAGCTGCAGTCACCTCACTTGTTCAAATTGTTAAAGATGTTGCCTTGAAGATTTCACAGAAAAGGTGCTGCACCTTTAGCTTTATATACAAGGCACCTATGCCAAAACGTCTAACTGGGACCGGTTGGCATCTCGACTGGTTACAATTGGAACTAACTGGTCCCAAGTGGGAATTGGCTCTTACCAATAGGAGTCCAACTGGGACTAGCTGAGAGGTCAACTGGCTTGACTATGCCCAGATGGGGAACGGGTATGGGTAAGTGGGACCAGTTAAGGAGTTAACTGGTTAGAGGGATTCCCAAGGGGGAGTTTCAATTGTTTTCCCATTCCCTGTTGGGGTTCACATGCTGCGTCGATTTCGACAAGATGGGGGTGTATTGATCTTTGCTAGTGAAGGAAAAAAAAACTTAAATTTATAGATTTACAGAAATAAATAAACCTTTAATTACTAGGTATACATTTATGTATTTAAAAAAATATTTCAAATTTCAATGTACATATTCTTTTATAAATTGCGATATAGTTAGTGGCATAAAAAATGTTTACTTAAATCAACATTTATGTACATGTATAAAAATGTATTAAACATTGAAGCAAAGACCTACCCTTTGTTTTTTAATCGCACCCAGCAGGTTGCAGTGACGCACACGCAGATTAGTTTTACGCACTGTCGACAGATGGCACGTGTGACGCAGTGAAAAATCACCAATCATGATTTTTAACGATGATGAAGTTAAGAGGCTGAAGGTACAGAATATTACAGTTGAGAGAGCTAGTAAATACAAGTATCTAGGAGTATGGATATGTGATGGTGCAGAATATCTCAGTGAGCATGAAAAGTATATAATAGGTAAGGGCAACAGAAATGCAGCTGTAATGAAAAATAGAGCACCTTGAAATTACAACAGGTATGAGGTGGTGAGAGAGATTTGGAAAGGGGTCATGGTGCCTGGCTTGACTTTTGGAAACACAGTGATATGCATGAAATCCGAAGTGCATGCGGGACTAGAAACAAAACAGTGCAGAGTAGGTAGGCTGGCTTTGGGGGCACATTGCAAAATGCCAAACCAGGGAGTACAAGGAGACATGGGGTGGGCGTCATCTGAGAGCAGTGAAGCGGTGAGCAATATAGAATTTGAGGATCGGTTGAGGCGAATGGACGGGGAGCAATGGGCACGAAAGGTTTTCAGCTATTTATACATGAGGAGTGTAGACAGAAAGTGGAGACAGCACACTAGAAAATTAAGAGAAAAGATTTTAGGCTATAGTGGAGATATGGAAGAGCAAGTCTCAGTTAAAGGGGCCCTGCAATGACTTTTTTACTAATTTTTAATTTGCACCGAACCTGAGCGCGCTGAACGTAGTAACTTAGTGAAACTTTTCTTTTCTCAAAATTCCCTTTATTTTAAAAGTTATAGGCGAACTAAAATTACAAAGACAAGCAAAAAATAACCCCCCTCATGACGTCCTTGGTTGCTTGAGTGTGGCCCTGAACTAGAGGAGGAGTAGTGAGCACATCGAGCGCTCACGGCTGCCGCACTCCGTGTCGACGGCGCGAGAGGGCGCCATTAAAGCGTGTTCTGGATAGGCTGTATGTAGCGGGCCTGATCCCACTACTCCTTTCTAGTATGCGCCGCCTTTTCCACCACTTGGTGGCGGGTATGTCGACAGGTCATTTCTTGTTTCCGTACTTTATGAACTGCATTAGTTTCTTTTTCTATCTAAAATACTGAACAAGAACTACTTTTATAAATAATGGAAATGGTTCGCGCCACTTATATTTTCTATTTCGACTAAAAAGAAACTTTAGCAGCTTTGACCAGTAGTAAGCCCAGGACCAAAGACGTCACATTTCGCGCGCTTTCGGTACCGCAGGTCGCCCTCGTCGGTGGCGGAGGTTTCCGCGTCGTCCGGTTAAAATATGACGCACTGATATTTAGTTACTCTCTCCGTGCCCGCTGGCTTGCCCGAACCGCAAGAGACATGGAAACCGCAAAAAAGGTAGACGCTTAAGTATGATTGCAGGGCCCCTTTAAGAAGAAAGTTAAGGCCACAGAAAGAGATCGGTAGCTAGAGGGAATGCAGACAAAGACGGCTCTGGAAAGCTATAGATTAAACAAAACAGTTATTGCCAAAGAAAGCATTTATGACAATTCTAGGGGAAGCTCATTGTTGTTTGAGGTAAGGGCATTCAGCGAACCAGAACATACAGAGCGAAGTACCAGGAAATGGATACAGTGCGCACTGCTTGTGGAGAGGAGGACGAGACGGCTGAGCGCTTGATACTCTGCTGTAAAGGGCTTCATCCTACGCCGACCGAAGACAACATAGATTTAATAAGTCATTGGGTTTGAGAAACAGCGAAGGAACAGTGGATTTCAAGACAGTAGAGGTTACCAAGCAAAGATTAAGTGAATGGTGGCAGCAAGCGAGAGAAAACTAGGTATTTTCTTATTAACTGATGGCAAGGGTGTTTTATAGCCTCACTTTCTGTGCAGTGCGGAGTGAATATAGCTTTCAAATTTAAATATTCTAAGCTTAAATGGTAAAACAAAATGGCTAGGTGGCGCAAGCTACCGCCCGATCCAAAGGGCTCAGCCAGATTCATCCATCCATCCATCCAGTGGTCGGTAGAGAAGGGAAACCATCGCCGAGGTTGGTGTATTGATAAACGTGTCGTTATGAAAATGTCAAAACCATATCTGCGCTTCTTGCGACCCAACTAAATACGCCATGGTGGTCACGGTGAACTTCGAGGGCAGAAAGATGCAGTTCAGCGACCGGAGGGCACCCAGGGAAAAACCAGACGGAAGAGAAAACAGCCGCGGAGGGCACAATGGTAAAAATGGCGGAAAGTCTACCCGAACTGGCAGCTGTTGTGACACAAGCAATTGGAAATGTTTGATTGTAAGGTGGGAGCGCAACCGCATCCTATCGGGACTTCACCTGCGCAACGCGGAAACACGGGTGAGCACCTTTCTTCACGCGATGGAGAGAAGCTAGGGACGTCGTCACGGATGCTGACAGACGCCAGCGGCTAATCTTTCACCTCGCACGAATATTAGCTCTGGGCGATTCAATCGTCGCAATTAGCTAACGAGGCAACTGAAGCGGTCCTTAGAGCTACGCTGTGCTTCCTTGAACCCGGAAACGTGGACGTCACCGAACCTATTTATTTTCATTCTCTGTTTTTGACAATAAAGACTGGTCAACCTTCCAAGTTGTGCCGTGTTTCGTTGCTGGAGTTGGCACCGTTCTGTCAACCAGTTGAATCCAACCAGTAATTTAGCTCGCCACGTGCGCAGGTCAATTTTCAGTTCCCCTCTTTACGGCGAGCCTTGCAATCGTTGCCGCCCTATATTCGCGCTCTTTAGTGCAGCGACATAACGCACGTGTACATACCTTGTTGCCGATCCGGCTTGGCTGGACGCCGTCGCGGCCGATCCACTGGTGCCACTCGTCAGCCAGCCCGTCAAGGAACGTGAACCCTTCCCTGCGACACAACTCTCGCAGCAGCGAGTTCACCTCTCGGTAACGGTCATTCGAAGCCTCGATCTCTGCAGCGTGACTACGCTGCCATTCCAATGAGCAGAACCTATTCTCCCGTCTCGGAAGAACGGCAGAAAAGGCGATCTGCATCATTGGATTGCGTTCACAGATCTGGGCAGCTAGACGACGATATTTGTCGATGTACACGCTGGCACTAATATGGGAATTATTAGTGCCAACGTGCAGGATGACAACATCAAAATCGGGTAGCCTCTCAGACACCTGGGAAAACAAGTGCTCGATTCTAATACCACTAAACGCCGCAACCTCAACAGCCAACCGACTATTCAATGGGAAGTACTGGGGCAAGTACTTCACCATCGAATCGCCGGCTACCAAAACTCGAGGCATGTTGGGGGTGCGATCAAAGCTAAAATACAAAGAGTAGCACTAGATACGGAAAAAAGTATTGCTAAAAAGAACAAGACAATGCTAAACAAAACGCTTCAAAGAGTGCGAAAAATCAGCCAAAATAGCTTGCGTGACCGGAGCCGACAGCAGCGCGGGCAGGAAGGAATGGTACGTGCAGCACGGGGCAGGACCCGACCACAGAAGACTACAGCTGCTACAGCGGCAAACGCACATGGTCGGGCACATGTCATAACAAAGGCAACATCCGGGGCCGGGGATGATACGTTACTTCCGGCGTCGAAGGAACGATTTCCACACAGCCGTCTCTCCTCCGACGCGACTACGTCACTTCCGGCGTCGGAGGAACGATTTCCACACGGCCCCCACTCCTCCGACGCCCGTCGGAGGAAGCACTTCCAGCCGCTTTACATTCGGTTAGCAGAATTTCGCTAACGCATCAAAACCTTTGTAATTTCTTGTTAGCATAGAAAGAATAAAAGTAACTTCAAAAGTATTTTGCGACTTTTTACGGTAATTAGTAATTTACTCAATTACTTTCTATATGAGTAATTTCTACTCTACTCAAATTACTTTTGAGGCTAATACTCAGTAAATTACTTTTTTGAGTAGCTTGTACATGTCTGCTACCAGCCTGCCACCCCATGTGAAGAAACAAAACAGAGAAATAAATGTACAGAATGTACACTCTACAGACAGTACGTAAAAAGGAAAGAAAAGGGAGAAAACATGTACCCCATAATGACAAGGACATCCCATATATTCTGGCAAGCTCTCGCGACTCTGCCCTGTTTGACGGCAGTGGGCTGCGCACACTGATCGTAATTATCAGTTGTCAGTCAACTACCTCATTGCATCAATGGAAACGTCAAATGAAAATTACACTATCCAGAATGCACCGTATCATTTGTCACTTGCGCAGTGAACTGCGTAAATTACTGGTCGATCCTCTGTTCTTGAGGCAGAAAATACTGAAGAAAACCACACTCGCAAAGGGCTCACAAACGCAAAGTTACCGTGTCGCTTACTCCACACCTCGCCGTAAACGCTGGTTGTACTAAACTGTGCGATGGTAACCGCACGGCTGCGCGGCGTTCACTTGCGATCCATGGCCTCCTCGCGTTCTTGCGCGCGCGCAGACATTTGCGAAATTTTTGCCGAATCTTTGCCGAACTTTCTTACAAAATTTCGGCATGTGCGGAACTTTGCCGAAGCTGAAGTTCTGCAGATTTGGTCCATCACCAGCATTTACGGCATGTGTGTTTGTAGGCATTTTGAAGGGGGGGAGGGGAGGGCCAATTGTGTATGCGCACCGGGCGCTTTGGTCACTGGCTCCTTTTACGGCACAGGCGATAGACCGCACGACGCTCACACCGGATCGGCTGCTCGGCAACGTCTGTATCGCTCGAAACGCGTCAACCTGCGCGTTAAACCACCACCGCGTCTGCGTTCTTTCTGCTTCGTGGCGACAGTGTGCGGCTGCTAATTACAAAACGATTGACCCACTCACCGCCCCCCCGTACACGCCGCTTTGCGGCGTGTACGGGGGGGGGGAGGTAACTTAACCTAACCCAATCCAACCCAACCTAATCTAACCCAACCCAACCCAACCCAACCTAACCTAAGCCGCCACATTGTCGTAGCAGTTGTCGAGTACGAGTTTCAAAACGCTTGGATCAAGACTTGCCCACCTTATTGCGGCAACAGCAGAACCTATGTTGCAGCACCGGCCGACAGCCTGACCAAGATTGCCTCTAGCCTAAACAACGACAAGGATAGCCCTGCAAGTGTTTCCTCGCCAACCAAGCTCTCCCCAAACACGGAAATTACACGGTACACCAACCCAATCGAACGTGAATGGGGCCGCCAGGGACTCGGACCTCACCCCAACTTGCACGCTGCTCAACCTAGCGTGGGTTTCGGCATCATGGCCGTATCTAAAAAGAATCTGGACCAACCCGGATCGGGGGACAAGTTTCAAGAAGTTGCCGCCTTTTTTCAGGTCGACACTGAAATTGTGCTGCACACGGAGATCGACACGATTAATCCCATGAACACTTGCTACCCGGCACAGGAGCAACACTTTGAAAAGACCAACTATGGCATGTACGTGCCGTACAACCGGCAGACGCACCTGGGCTACTACACGTACCTTCCCAAGACATCATCTCACCTCGTTCCTTTTGAACCGTAAATTTTTATTCGGTTCTAGAGCTTTTATAATGCTGAATAAAGGCGTGCACTCTGTTCAATTCAGTGCTCATTTCGTTTTCTGATCGTTCCAGAAATTCATCTTCGGTTTCGCCGTCTTCTTGTTCCAAATTTAGGTGATTGAAATTTCCATTCATCACTTCACATGCTATAAAGCAGTCCTCGGCTTGTTGCGCTAGCACGTAATTCAGCCGGTTTTTCTGCTCAATTACAATTTCGTTTTCAAATTCTTGCATCAGGTTGACGATCGCAGTCAAAACTGCAGGGCCACGGCTCGCTCCAACGCCCTCTCTCTCGAACCAGTCACCCTCTCCGTCTCGGACGCCTCGGGGGTGTCGTCGTCGATGTCGATCTGCATAAAAAGATATATGTATATACTTTTTTAATACCACCGACAACAACTACGACAAAACAAACGGTAACTAGGGAGGCCTAGCATGTCCAGACTTGCACTGGAGCTCGATTTTAGCTTTCGACCACTCTCGCCTACCTACGCCTAATAATTATGCCAAGTTTATCTGCTTTACATATAGGCAGTCTGGCAACCCGTGCACTTTGGCGCCAAATTCAAACGTTTGAGAAATTGCATCTCGCTTCCTATTGGTCGCAGCGAAACCTAACCTAACCTAACCTAACCTGACCTAACCTAACAAAAGCCGCCACATTGTCATAGCAGTTGTCGAATAACCTCCTTCATGATGTCCTTGGTTGCTTGTTTGGCCATGAACTAGAGGAGGGGTAGAGAGCTTAGCGAGCGCTGACGGGTTGCCGCACTCCGAGTCGACAGCGCGAGAGGGCGCCATAAAGCATGTGCTGGATAGGCTGTATGCAGTGGGCAGCCAGAGCGGCTCTCATTGCATTTGCTACGCGATTAAACACCAATTCGGCATTGGCCACGAACGACAGCAAACACGGGGTAAAGATCAGTTCAGAATGGGAGCCACTTTGCGCTGCCATACCGCGAAACGGCCAAACCGCCAGACAAAGCGGCTCGCTGAAGACCTTCAAAACGCTCGGAGCCGGTCGGATCCTTCAGTCCCTACGGCCGCAGCGCCGCCGCGGACATCCGAGACCTTTCCGTGTCGGCGCCTGATCCCACTACTCCTTTCTGGTATGCGCCGCCTTTTTGGCCGCTTTGTGGCGCGTATGTCGACGGGTCATTTCTTGTTTCCGTACTTTATAAACTGCATTTGTTTCTTATCTGATCTAAAATACTGAACAAAAACTACTTTTATAAATAATTGAAACGGTTCGCGTCACTTATATTTTGTATTTCGACTAAAACGAAGCTTTTAGCGACTCTGACCAGTAGTGAGCCTAGGACCAAAGACGCCACATATTGTCACGGGTGGTGACCAATAAATAAAAAATAAACAGGAAGAAATAAACGTTTAATGTGGCGAACTTGTGCCAAAAAATAAAAGGGGTACAAAAGATAATAACAGAGCGTCGCGGGCGTCGAAGTCGGCGTGACAGCAGAGTCGAACGCTGGGACGAGACTGACTCCGGCTTGCTCGCGGAGCCGCTTTTGTACACACGTTGGCTTCTGGAGCATTCGACGTAGAAGGCTCGACGCGTAGAACATTCTGACCTCGAATCAGCTAGACGGTTCTCGATTTCACCAGAACATCACATTACAGTGTCAACAAAAATGCATAGCCGCGGCCAGGAATCGAACCCTGGCCCTTCGCGTGGGAGGCAAGCGCGATAACCGTTAGGCTACGGCCGCGCTGCCTACTTGGCGCGCGGCAATATTGCGCGCTTTCGGTACCATGGGTCGCCCCCGTCAATGGAGCAGGTTTCCGAGTCGTCCAGTTAAAATATAACGCATCGATATTTAGTTACTCTCTCCATACCCGCTAGCTTGCCCGAACCCAATGAGAAGTGGAAACCGCAAAAAAGGTAGACGCTTAAATATGATTGCAGGGCCCCTTTAACTTGAGACTGGCTGCAACTATAAGTGTTGCGGATCTGTCGAGGTTAGGTTTGACTTTTTAAAATTCTTAATGCTAAGTTCAACAGAATTTCCACTGAAGTTACACTTCTACGCACATGCATGGTAATTGAGAATGAGCCGAAACCACCTGGCAGAGGAAGTTAACAAACTAACTAAATCCTTAAATTATTATAGGTTTACTTTTGTACTGAACATACAATGGTAATCATTTTCTAAAATTTTACAAACTATTTAAAGGAGCCGTGCAACGATACCCTTTTGGTATGTTTTTCACTTTAGTTTACACGACTGTACTGGCACTAGAGGGGCCCAAGTATACTCACACGCAACGCCCCTGACTAAGAAGCCTTTTTGGGGCGGTGTAATTTCAAGAACAGAAGCAAGCGTTGTCTTTCAATCTCTTCTTCGCAGAGCTTGATGATGAAGCTGGGGGGTCCCAGTACCCCCAAGTGACTATATTTGAATGCGGCTCGTAGATTGGACACGAGCATTGCGCGAGCACTCGATTCGGGCTGGTGATAATCAATAGCTCGACAAGTATTCGGGTAGTGGCTCGTGTCCAATCGCGGCAATGAAGACAGTAGCAGAACCATAACAATGTCTGGAACTCGGCACGTGTCCTATGCCTTGCCAACCCCAGCGCGTGGCTATGATCAACATATGCGGCATGCAAGCTCCAGATCATGTGGGCGCTTGTTCTGGCTGCAAGTTGAGGCAGTGAACAACCCTCGTTTTTCCTTAATCTTTTATGAGACTTTATTGCGTATGGTGAAATAAGCACATGTGCTTCATACGTCATTAACGTCAGGGGTTTGTTCTTAAAAAAATTATTACACTTTTGTGTAGATATCGGGAAACACTCTTCGAAAGTCAAAATTTGTAAAAATTTGCCAAAAGTCTGAAGGTTTGGCGAACCAGTCAAACCTTGAGGTGCAACAAACTTCTGCCTGGCCACGCCCACCTCTGTGCATAGTGATCAACATCCACTACATTTCAAGGTAGAGCAAGTCTCAACAGACACTGTACCTTGTTCAAAAAGACATTAGTGAGAAACTTGGATGGCTGATGCAACAACCTGGCTGTTTCTGCAATCTGTGTCACTGTGTCCTATTAGTGCAAAATTTCGCTATGGCACAAGGGTTTGTCTTTCTAAAACTGTGCTTCTATTCCCCTTATTACAGAAGCCACACTACATATTTCAATCTTGCATTTTGTTTCACAAGACACTGCTAAGTGATCTTTTTTCGATTCACACACCCAAGCCCATCCTTTCCCCTTCTTTGCTGTATAGGACATATGTGACGTCAATACTGTCTTTCAGAAACCCAGGCTATTCTCACTCGTTGCTTGCTTTAATAAAGCATGACCAATGCAATCAAGTGCATGTCGTCGCATAAGCCACGGGGAAATCAAACAGAAGAAATCACACGGCGGAATTGCGTCACGTTCGTGAGAGCCGTTTGTTAACTGCGCATAAAAAAGAATAAATAAACAAGACAACGAACAACATGTGTACCTCTTTCATGAAATATGTGCACCTGTCGTTAACATGTTTCGTTTGTTTTGTCTCTCGTGTACCTATACTGCCATCATTTAACCATTCTATGCAGCATGTTCCCCAAGTAAACTTTACTGCTTCTTTCACTGCAGAAATAAAGTATGAATCACGAAATGTTCAGTTTCCACCCAACTGTAGCGCAAGCAGTTCAGACCAGATGCCAAAGTTTCAGAACATGCCGTTGTCTAATTCAAAGATTATGCGCAATTTTTCTTTTTAATTTTCAAATGGGAAAGTGGAGCTTGTTCCCGGTGGCCGATGCCTTTCATCTTCGTGGGTCGTCGACCACTCTTTTCCCATTAGAAGTTTCATAAAATTGTTTAAAAATTCTGAATAAGATTTGTTCTGAAACTTCAACATTGGGTCTTAACCGCTAGGGCTACATTTGGGTGGAGAGGGAGAGCTTGCCGAGGTGTAGCTTATTTTCTTTTAAAAACACGGTACATTTTTAGGGGGGGGACACCCTGCATAACCAGCCGAGCAGTAAATAGACAACTTGTAAGCCCTTATTTAAGTCAGTGTAAACCACTGCAGAGAATTAAAGCGGCATCAAAAACAAATTTTAGCAACTGGAACTTGCGTTAAATTTTTTTAGCAACTTGTAACTTAGGTTGATTATAGCCGCTTCTAGAAATTATGATCACTAACAAATGTAACGGCGCCTTAGCCGCTGCCCCAAAAGTGTGCCACGAGCAACGTGTCAAATCGAAACGGGATTGTACTGACATGTCTTGCGCAGTTAAAAACTGAACGGGCGTTCAGCAAATGTGTCACCCAAATCTCGGACTTCACACACAATACTTGGTGTCAACTACTCCGAAGTCCACTGTAAAGGCTAGCATAACTTCCACAATGCTGTTGGAGCACTGTGGAAGTGATGCTCCATATTATTCGACTTTGCACGAAAGCGCGTGTGCATGAGCTGCAAGATGAAGCGCTCTTGCAGCAGTGCAAGGCTATGGCACTTTGGAAGATATACATTAGCTTTGACAAGGCAGCATGAAATAGTTTACGCTGAATGAAGTTTAGAGAGAAATCACGACGTAGCTCAGTTACTTCATAATGCAACAAACTGCGCCTAGATACATTTGTAAGGACACACCGTCAAATACTGAGCTAGCACCCACTCAAAATTTGGAGATAATCATGCAGAACTGGGGTATGGGTGCTCCTTAGGTTAACACTATGTAAAGATATGTCTTTTGTGTATTTTCAGAATGTTAGGAAATTGAGGGTTGGCACTTACTGTGGAATGGTCGGATGCTCGGTCTTTTACAGTAGTTGTATTTGTTACTGAATGACGTGTTAGCTCTAGCAAATTTGACTCGCTCAGAGCAACTCTTGCAAGTCTCAAGTAACCGCCGATATCACAGGCACCTAGCGGTGAGGAGAAGTTACGAAACCTCTCGGTCTCTCAGTCCAACTCCAAGAACAGGCTGAGTTGTGCCTGTCACACAGTCTTTGGAGCCTGGCACGGTGCCACACAGCAGGGAGGTATTGTCTGGCCATGGACAGGATGGACAAAAACCGGGCCCAAGTCACCAGAGTAAAATATTTGCGTTGTGTATACGTTTAGACGACAGGAAGTTGTCAGTGGGCATCTGGTGTCTAAGCTGTAGATGAGAAACGTGGCCAGTGCAGTACCACAGCTAGCCTGGGGTCTTCAACAGACTCAGCCAATGCACAGGCACCAGTCACCAGAGGACGTGTAGACATTCAAAGACAACGTTACTTAAATATGAAAAAAAGTTACCTCTTTCTGACAACCTGCAGGTTTTGCTGAAGCTTGTCATAGGGAAGGTAGTTGTCGGGCTCGAACTTGCTGATGGCAACCTGAAGACGGACAAGGCACAAAGATGAACACAACGAAAGTGTCATCACACACTCTGTGTGTTATTTTTTTTCACCAACTTCTGCCTGGCCAGAGACTTTGCCAAAAATTGGAGCGTGCGTTGGTTTCGGGGGAAGTGCCCATAAATCAAGGTTAAGGTAGAAACATCAGTCCACTAAAGCTGATTTTAGAAAACTAGAGTAGTTTTAGTAAACTCAAGTAATATGTCTAGAACTATTGGCAATGTGGGCAGCTTGAACGATTTGGGCGAATACACACACGAAGGTAAGAAATGGATGAAGACACCGTAATGAACCAACTGGCCCAACTAAAGTCCGTTACTCAATGGGGAGAGCAAGTCGTCTGCTTATTGTGCAGGGGTTGTGGTAATGTCAGAACGACTTTGAGTTTTGATTGGCTTTTATTGGAAGGATAGTGTGTACACCTCAATGCTAGATGCCTTCAAGATTACCCACTATTTTTTTTTTTAATCGGCCAATAAGAGTTTGGCATTCTGACATCATCACAACCCCTGTGCAAGATGCAGACGAACTTGCGCCCTGCATAACACCTGCCCATTCATCAGGTTCATCTACCACTTTACGACATAAATGCCCACTCATTAAGCCCATCTGCTGGCTAGATAGGAAAAATACAGGATCAATGAAACTATACCATACATTCTGCATGGGGACCCATGAAATGAGTATCCACCGGAAAGGTGTCGACAGGACCCAACGTTACTTAAACACTCAGTTGGGAAACTCGCCGTCGAAACCTGGGCCGGTGGCGTCCACCGAGACCGAGCTAAATGCGACAACAGCGCCACTCTTTTTCGTTTGTCTGTACTATGGTCACCTCGAGCTTTTTAAAAGCCTGTTTTTTGCGTAAAAACAAACGGAAAAGACTCTTTTTGTATGAAATTTATTGGAGTTTAGTACCAAATGATGGACGCGTGATGTTTTTATCATCTTTAGTTCGCAAGGTTTTGCGGAACAATTAATATTGTTTTTATAAAACCATGCCTCAGCGGGCCTTTCAGGTAGCGCGTCCCGACCTAGGTGCATTTTAACTTCAGGAGTTCAACGCGGCGCGTCTGCCGGGGAGACGGGGGTTCACCCCTGTCAAAGCCAAAAATAGAAGTCACGTGCAGTTTCTCGAGTGGCCGCTGCGGGAGAAATGGTGGCGTTGTGTTCGTCATTGGCTCGGTGCTCGGAGACAGATTGGGGCCATATTTTTAGGGCTGTCTCTATGGGAGTTTCCCAACTGAGTGTTTTAGTAACGTTGACAGGACCGCTAGAATCCTCTTTGGTGCATCTATTCGTAAGTCTATATCTGTAAAGTAACGACTCTGGTGTAACCCGAGACAAGTTTTCTCACCTTGTGTGCTGCGGCCAAAGATGCGGGAGAAGCGTGAAAGAATCGCACATGGTTGCAGAGTTTCTGTGCCACCTGCGAGAGAGGGGGAAAACAAGGAGTTGACGACGACGCAAACTGGATCGCGGTCATCGTAGTGCCAACTCCGCCCGATTTCAGGCATGTTACGTCAATGACCGATACGGGGCGACGGAGGTCAAACGCTTCTTATTACGGTCCTCACGCCGTCAGCTCCGCTATTTTCAGAGTAAACTGCGTTTCATAAGCGAGTAGGGGTCCCATCACATCCTCCCAAGAGCCCGTAAAAAAAATCAGATACACTAAAATGCGAGAAGTACGTACAGCGCACATGAGCACGACTGTACTGAGGTCAGTGCTCAGCACTAAATTAGCAGGCTCAGAAGCAGGGCGTGCAAGCTATTTGGCAGGGGAACATGTAAACCTTAGGGGAGGGTTGCATAAGGAGCATGAGGCATTTACCAGGTTGGAGTAAATCCGCGTTGAGTACCGGCGGCCGGCCGAGGAAAGTATGCCGAGCAAGGGCAGACGCACGGGGGCAAGGAGGGACACACGGGTCGCGGTACCCGCCAAGCGCATGCGCGAGGTTTTTTTTTTTTTTTTTTTTTTGTGACTTTTTTTTTATGAGAGTTTCATTGTTGCTTGATGTTGAGTTTTTCAAGACTTTAGACAAAAAAAAAAAAAGAAATAATATGTATATATTTTTTATGACGGTTGGTTTAATTTTTGTAAACGCCTGGAACATGGGGCTAAAGTTGAATAAACCCACTCAAAACCACTAACAAATTCAGATAATAAAAACTATAAGTTCGCCTGCACCCTTGCGATATTTTCCCTGCATTTTTAAACGTTCCTGATCTGTTTTTGACCGGCGGCGACGGTTCGTTCGGCGGCGGCGGCGCGGCGCCGGGTGTTCATCGGCGGCGGCAGGGGGCGTGTGGCCATTTTGCGTCGGCGGTGTCGGGGTTTAGCGCGTAATTCAAAATTACTTTCGGCCGAAAATTTTAAATATAGAGGAAACAAGAAAGTAGAAAGTAATATGTCCATAATTTTTACTTCGTTATTTTATTTTATTTTGCATATTAAGGATGGTTAGGGAGAGCAGAAGTTTAGCGAACAAGGGAAAGGCATGAGTTTGCGCTTCACGGATCGCAACTACGTCTGCAAAGGTTCCTCTCAACATAAGAAAAATATTAAAAATGGGAGTTTATAAGAAAAAATATCAGATTTTTTGTTTTGCTTGATATAGGACAATAAACTTTCTGTAGGACGCCGAGCATATCGCATATTAATATTGTACAAGGTAGCAACGCTTCAAAGATCGTGCCTTGGTTACTTATCTTTTAATCTGTTAGCATTAGAACGCTCGTTTTGACGAAAACCCGGTGGTGTCTTTCGTTTGTGAGCGCCAGGGAGAGAGAGAGAAGGGGGGCGACGGTGACACGTGCGAAGTTCACATTGGTCCGAAGCGCTGACGTCAGCACGCGTCAACCTCTCCCTCTCTCCTCGGCGATGACAAACTGACAGACACCGCCGGGTTTTCGTCAAAACGAGCCCTTTTGATTTCGGCAATGTCAAGCGCACAGCTCGCGGCGAGTAAGAGAGGAGGAGGTGCCGCGCAACACCTCCTGTTACAGTGTACTAGAACAGTCTACTAGAATTTTAGTAAAGTGTTCTAAATACGGGGTAGTGTTTGGACCGGCGCGACCTGACAATGGGAACTTGTGAGGCTGCGCGTGTAGACCATAATCGCGGAGCTGCAGTCACCAGGGCAGCAGAGTCGCTGCAGTCCGCACGTGCCGCCGCACGTGCGCGTGCACGCGGTGCACGCTCACAACCACCACTATACCACGGTGTAAGATATACTCTTTAGGTGAGGACACGGCGGGGCTGAACGCGCGGCGCGAGGAATCAGATAATGTTCGTTCGACGGGCATCCGGACAAAAGCTCACCCGTTTTTTCACAGACCCGGACAAAAGCTCACCTGATTTCGTTTCGCTACCCGGGCGAAACACGGGCTGAAATAAAATGCGGACGCGATGGACATTGCACCATTTTTAGGTGAACTTGTACCTCATCCCACGCAAGGGTTTACTACGGTTGATCGAATGCCATTTCGTCGAAACATTTTTTAGAGAACGGGCACGTTTTATTGAAGCCCGGTTTAGAGAAAGCAGAGCCTCAGTTTAGAGATATGCCGTTTATCGAAAAGGGGACGCTATTTAAAAAAGGTTTTTCTACTTCACGCGTGTATCGCTGGTGCGCGTGTTAACCCAAGCCCCCTGCTTACGTGTTAACCCAAGCTCCCACTGCTTCGCGGCGGCAGTCTGCGGCGGCTCATTACAAAAATGTTAACTCACTGACTTATCCATACACGCCGCTTCGCGGTGGCCGAATTCGCTAAAAGGAGGCTCATCGCCTTTTTTTTCTAAACTTGGTTTCTCTGTAAGACCAACATGAAATTTTCTCTTGGTGAGCTTTTGTCCTGGTCTGTTGAAAAATGGGTGAGCTTTTGTCCGGTGAGCTTTTGTCCGGTGAGCTTTTGTCCGGGATTCCTCCTGTGCATTCCTATGGAAAAAACGCGCGTGAATTTCGTCTCTTCGGCGGAAAATAACCTGCAAGAGCTTGGTTATTTGGGTCGTACCGATTAGTATGTACCTTTGTTAACATGGTAAAAGTGTAATTGCTTTAGTTAGCGCATTTTTCTTGATCAGTGAACGATGTTTAACTTCGTAACATTTCAATCCCAAACATATGTTCCGCAGTAGGTGTATGAAAACAAGAGACGATTCAAAGCGAAATTACAATCGAAAGGAATATAGAGTGTGTTCAATATACGCGAGAATTCCGGCGACGCTTATATATTGGTAATATGCCACTCCATGTCACTATACGAAGATGACCCCGTCTTGCATCTTTACGAGCTGTTAAAAACATTCAAAACGTAAAGAATAAATGGGAGAGGAAAGGTGTATCTTTGTGTTTTTTTCTCTGCCTGACAGCTTTTATCGGGCACTTGTCAAAGATTTTGAGCGTTCGGGGGATGTTTTGAACGTAGAGCAAGCAACTTCGCACAGAGCAAAAAGAACAAAGCAGTACTTACTTCTCTAAAATCGGAATATATTACATGGCCTTCCACTTATTTTGATTGTACATGCACGGGTAGTTACTGATTCAGTGTCACTGCGTTGTTCTTGCCGTCTCTCCATGGTTTCAAGATGTCCTTCGTTCGTTTGGCACGTATATCCCCCAAGTTGAAAAGCGCCGGCGTCGTGTTCGCGCTAACAATGTCCGACAGTGCACATAAATACACGTACGAAGCCGTTTAGCATTGTTTTGAATGCGATGAATAGGAAAGAAAAACGCCGTAACTGACCAATTATTTTATCCGACTGACTGGGAAATGTTCCAAGCCAAACAGGAGGAAAAAAGACATGTACGACAATGACAAGCGCCAACTCCCAAAATTGTGATGATGACTACCTTGTAGTAGGCCTTGTACATGAAGCGTTCCCTCACATGCACACAGATGTTAAAGCAAGCTTTTAGCCCTCTCTAAATTCCATCGTGGTTTGCTTTCGTTAAACCTAAAAAGGGAGCACAATAAGACGGGGACGAGAAAGGAAGAAACAAGCGCTCACTACCAACTAGTTTATTGAGAAAAAAAAGTCTTCCCTTCCTTCCTTGTCCGTCTTAATGTACTCTTTTTTTCATTGCAGCCACAAAGCAGCTTGCCCAGCAAAGAATTTTATAATGCTTTCTTTGACTGCACTAGACACTCTCAGTAGATAAGCCCCAGTCTTGCCTAGCACCTAGCTTATGCAGTGTGCTGCAGAACAGGTACAGCTAGACTTGGTACCCTCCCCTCTTTCCTCAGTAGGGACCATGCCCCTTGTGCTTCAAGTGCTCTCAGTGCACATTTATTACTTACGTTCCCTTTGAGCCTTAAATTGATATTCTTTTAAAAGAAAAAGTAAACAATAGCAGCAGCAGCCTCCCCCGCCCCTCCACTCCCTATCTCTCTCCATGGGAATATTTTAGGTTCCTCCTGATGGCTAAAATAATTTTGAATGCAATAGTCTGCATTTTTATGGTGTCCATCTGTAACCTGATACATCCTCAGGGTGTCTACCAACCTGAAATTCTTAGGGAAATCGTCAAAAAATTGGCTTCATCAGGGAAAATGACCACTGAAAGTGGAACGGAGGTGCGGAACAAGCTTTACGGTTGCGCATGGGCACGACTATGCTGAATAACGTTTCCGAATTATGATCCTTCGACCCAGAAGTGGTCAGGAAGTTTTTATCAAAATAGTCAAGGGAAATTCCAGAAAAGTCAAGGAATTTGAAATCAGCAATTTGGTAGACACCCTGATGCACTGGTTCTACCGTAAGAAACACTTCACAATCAAGTGAGAATTGGGGAAAGCGAAATATAGAAAGGTAGCAATGGGCGTCCGCCTTACTTGCCTTCACTCTGCTGCATGGGCTTTCCATCTATGACACTGTGGGCACTTAACATGTCCTCGACAATTTTACTTTGCTCACCTACAACCTCGTCTGACTTCCAGAACTTATTTTTTATCATTGGCTTTTTTTTCCCAGGACCCAGTAAAGACTTTCGGGAACCCGGCGTTACTTTTCACTGGAAAGCACCCATGGACATCTGGCAGCATGTGCGTTGTCTGCGAGGACCTATGAATCGATGTCCTGGACTTTTCAGCAAGAATCTTTCGGGTTTTAGCCATGTACTGAGCATAGAAAGGTCAGTATGGGGGGGGGGGGGGGGGGGGAATCGACGGAGCACACTTTTTGTGCTTGAGCACCCTCTTCGGTAAAAAAATAAAAAGATTTCGGTAAGAGCTGTGAAAGTTGTGACAGCACTCGGAACACATTCCTAGAACAGGGAAGAAGAATTGCAATAACGGTTACTGTTTTAAATATGTATTTGGTGAATATTCCAGCTATAATTCAAAGGTTTGTGTGTTTCATTGTGTATCCAAACTTCTGTTAGATTTTTTTTGTGCATCTGTTGATCTGAGGATCCAAACCATAAACAAAAAACTGAAAAAAAAAATCTTTGAAAAAACAGCAAGTAGGCAAACAAAGCTTTCAGGAAACTTGTCATTTTTTTAAATTCTAATTTAATCCTCAACACCAAGCGGGCAAAGCAAGCCTTCACAAAACTTGTTATTGTAATTTATTTTCGTTGTCTAATAGTTATACCAGTTTTGTGTATTAGTATTAGTTCTTATGATGTTATTTGTTTAGTTATTGTGATAAAACCCCTGTGATAAGCCAAAGCAGGCTTCTGAGCCAATATGTATCACATTAGTTTCTAATAAAGTAATTGTTTTAAATGCTTGTGCTTTGTTTTGCAGTACCTGCATGGTAGGACTCATGAAGTTGCATTTGCACAAATGGCAGTGATATGAGCTGAGACAAAACAGCCATTTTTATTGTTAAATTCGAAGATTCCTGCAATTTATTGCCACCCACCT